GAAGAAGGCGAGCATCTCGGCCCGGAAGCCCGCGACGGCGGCCGCGGCGCCGCCCTCGGCCGGCCACTGGTTCGGGTGCCCCGGCACGCCTTCGCGTCCCCATCTCAAACGACTCCTTCAGGTCCGGCGCCGCCTGCCGCACGGCCGACACGGCGCTGACGTCGGTGAGCTGGCTGACCTTTTCGCGGCCCGGCGCCGAGTAGCCCCTGTTGGCCTCGGGCGTCGTCCAGCCGAGCGCGAGCTTGGCCTCGTCGGACTGCGCGAAGAAGGCGGCCGAGGCGGCAAAGGCCCCGCTCCAGCGTCGCCTCGTCGATCGGGTGGTTCTTGAGGTAGATGAAGCCGGCCGTCTGGAAGCCGTGGAGGATCTCGCGGGCCGTGGCCTGACGCTGGGCGGCGTCGCCATGGAGAAAGGCCGAGAAGTCGATGAGCTGGGGGTGGGGGGTCAGTTCATGACAAGTCGTACAGGCGTATGTGTAAGAGTGAGCTTACGGGGATGACGAGACCCTCTCCGCTCACTGCTGTGGCCATGTTGGCTGGCGGAGATGGTGATTCAGTGGGAGTAAACAGTTCGACTCTTGCAAGTGCTTCTCTTTGAACCGAATACCGGATCAGCAGGTCGTCACTTGGGATGATGCCATTGTAGACGTGGACGTCTGCAAGTGCAAGTAACCTCTTGACTTACATAGAATCCACGTTCCTCAGCGTGTACAGGAAGACGACCGGATCAATTGGGAGAATGTTGAGCGGCGGCTCCAATGACGTTGCTCACTCTGCCTGTCAGATTCACAGATCAATCAAGGAGAAAGACATTCATCAACACGGCAGCCTCCTTTTGACTACAATGTCACCGACGGCATCAGCTCAGCTGCCGTCGCATGGCACTCCCATCATGCACTCTCTACCCCACTTTGGAGGTGACGGCGCTGATAAGCTGCTCCTCGCCAGTAGGGGGAGACCAACCCCGAAGCGGAGGTGGCCGCGAGCGAAGGCGACGCGAGGTGAGACAGGGACCAGGACGAGCAGAGACGACATGCAGACAACCGACCCAGAGATAACGGCGGGGTAAAATCGCGGGGGAGCACCGTCGACGCCAGCCACTGAGACGGCGTCGGCTGAGACTGTTCTATCACCTTCCCGGAGGGGCAGTGGACGAAATAGATTGGCTGCGTGGCATTCACGCATGTGAGGTAGCATATGCCAGGGTGGCCAGGCCGTTCGACGGAGAAACTGGACCTATACCGA